CTCCCTCTCTCCCACTCCCTCTCTCTCTCTCCTTTCTTCCTTCCCTCCTTCTGTGCTAAGGATTATTTCCTTCTTATAAAATCCGACTTCTTAGGGATTTTCACAGTGTTTAAGTCATTGATAGGATATAACAGATCAGGCCTCTGAGTCATGCAAGGGAAAGGTTTAATGGAAACTCCTGGATCAAGTGAACCCCTGGAGTGAATGTGTAGCAATTTCTCTGCCTGGCTTCCCATGTGTCCCATGTGAGGGAACTGTGTCAGGTCCTGCAGTCCTAGAGAAGGAGCATTGTAGACAATCAGTTGGCAGAAGCTGAGAGGGGCTTCATTAACCTTTCCTTCAGCTGGGTCACCTTTCTGAAAAGCCCCTGTATTTGATAACTTGTTCTTCCTCTCTCTTATTGTAGAAGTCTGCCAGATTTATGCCTTAAGGTAAAATTAAATGAATTTTATGGAGGAGAAAAGAACCCTTCATTTTGGAGGCTCATTTTGATATGTTTTCTCCAAACTTACTTCCCTTCTCTTCATTGCAAGCAATGTCAGAATTTGTTCTATTTTGGACAATGAATGTGGTATAGATACCCTTTAATTAAAAATGAAAACAGAAGCACCTTCTCCGTCCAGCTAAAACAGCAGTTGGTTTAGGCTCAGGTCAAATACTGGCATCTCTGCCATGCGTGACATTGGCTTGAGAGGCACAGTCGCAAGGAAGCGGCATGTGTCCTTGACTCACCCTTGGTGCCTGAACTCTGGGGTCCAACAGCCTCACAGTGGGATGGTTTTTAAATGGCCCCTCAGTGGGAGAGGAAGGCAAAAAAAGAGAAAGTTGCAAAGAGCAGCATTTGAGGTTTGCCAAGTGTTTGTAAGTGGGCCCTTTCCAACGGGGCAGAGGGTGGAGGGCTCAGGATGGACCATACATGCGGACGTCAGTGTGAAAATGTCACGAAACACAGCCCTATGCCCAATGCTCTTTCTGGTACTGGGGGTCACCACCTTTAGGCCCCAGAAAGGCCATGATATCCTAGCCTGATATTCCATTGGAGGAGTTTGGGACAAAGGTGCTGGGGAAAATGGGACCCTGCCACAGTTACACACAGTCAGGGAGCAGACCCTAGGAAGGTCAGAAGGGAGCCTGGGGCTGTTTTCATGAGGTGAGATACTTCCTGAAGGAGCCCTCCACAGCTTAGCTGTGAAAAATAAAACCAGGAAGGTGGGTCACTTTCCCTTAGGCAGTTCCTGTTGTTTCTATTCCTGACCTCAGGCAGGTAGACTGAGAAGGGATTGTGTAGGGTGTTTGTTGTTTTGGGGGGGTGGTTAATGGTACTTAAGAGTAGAATGTACATTCTGTTCTCTTCACTAATGGAAGAAGGATGGAGAGATTATCTAGTTCAACATTGACATTTTACATCAAGAAACTGAGGCATAGAAAGGAGACAAATTCAGAACATAAAATGGTCATGTGCAAACCTTGAGGCATGCTGTCACTGGCAAGGAAAGAACTGTCAGAAGCCTGTGAGAGAGAGGAGTTAGGGCAAGGACCAGAGGAAAGCAGACCAGTTTGGACAGGTGTGGCAAGGAGAGGCTGGAAGAAGCAAGAAGCCCGAAATCATCATCAGGCTATTAAATAAAATTTATAGAGACTGTTGGTTTGGACTGAGCTCCTGCACTAGGCCCAAGAGACCAAACCACAATGGAGTCTCTCATGCTCAAGTTTAGTGCCACCAAGCCAAAACTAAGTTGGTTTCTCTAACCTTCCAGAAATCAGGAGACAGAGCGAGAGAGAGATTGCCAAATCCCCCAAACTGTCCGTTTTAGCTGGCATAATAAGGATGTCCTCTCAGCTTGAACCTCTACAATTCAAGTAACTATGCAACTACCTGTCTGGCTTTTGTTCTCTGTTTCTTCCTCAGCCTTTTTCTGTCTTTAAAGCCAGCCTCTTCCTCTCAGCTCATGGGAGCACTCATTCTATCTTATAGAATGAACTGTTGCCCAATTCTAGAATGGAAAATAAAAGCTAATTAAGATCTTTAAACTAAAGTTGTTGTAATTTGTCTTTTGACAAGGCCATATGGGGGCTTCAGAAAAGTTGATATCTCAAGTAAAATAAAGACTGGAGATTGTGGCTCAGCCCAGATTGTTTCCCCAGCCAATTGCACAGGTTGTAACTTGGCATTCTGGACACCAGCTATGTCTCCTCCATTTCTCAGAAAACCTTTGACTCTGTGTGTCTTTCTTCCCACTTGAGAGAAGTCTGGGGCAGCTCTTTGGCCTCCTTGCCTAGCCTTGCTGGGGAAAGCCCACCTCTTTCATCAGAGGACAGAACTGTACATTATTAGACAGGCTGGAATTTTTATCCCCCAGCAAGGTGGGAGCAGACTTCACTAGCTAATTTTCCCCTTTCCCCTGCCCCCAGTCGCATTTCCATGGAAATACAGATGGTCAAGTTCCTGAGTCAAGTAATAGCTCCCCTGCTGATAGACTGACCTTCCTATTAGAAAGCTGGAGAAACCCCTGGAAGGGCGAGAGAAGAGACTCTCTCTGCCTTCAAGCAGAGCCTTTTGTTTAAAATCATCTAAGATTCTATGTTTGTGTGTATATATATGTACTTATATTTTATTTATTTTTATAAAATTCCATTGACATGGCCCTTCACTTTCCCTATAATTTGCACTTTTTATTCCTATGTGTGTCCCACACAATGCAGTATTAAAGGCAACCAGGAAAATACTGATTTGTTTTTTTAAAGTGTTTTCTCAGTGTTTTGTCAACCATTTCAAAGCGTCTCCCAGAAAACACTCAGGAGCAGGTGCTACCTTGAGCAACATATTCATCTGTACCCTGGGTTAATAGAACAAAAGGCCCATGTAATTTTCTTTTCTTTGTTAGCACCCCAAATAAAGTATATCTGGACAGTATTCCCAAAGAATTTGATAAATTTGATGTTGGTGTGAGCAGCCATTAGTATCAGGGTTTCCCATCCTCGGACAGTCCAAGGTTGTGACCTGTTAGATTATTATTAGATTGTATTTGAACTGGACCAGAGTTTGTTTTTTTGTTTTTTAATTTATGAGAACAACAAAAACACTAAACTAATTTAAGTTCAAACTTGTAAAGTATTGAAATTTGTTGAGTGTCCTATAAATTGTCACCACTTTTTTCTGATCTGTATAATTGACTGCAAAGTGTTTGTTTTTACAAAAGGAAAAAAAAGATTTTTAATAAAGAGAATTTGAAAGCTTGTGAGTGGTCATGTGTCATGCAGGGATCACTTGACATTTGACTGGGGAAAACTCACAACAACTAAGGTTGGGATTTGGTCCCTCTGAATTGTGGATGTTTTAAAAGGTTGAATGGAGAAGCCAAAAAGGATTCCGCTTAGGGCTCTGGTTAAGTTACCAGAGAGAATTAGAGATTCTCAGGAGTGAACCCTGGGGGATTAGTCTGATTACGTAGGGAGTTGCAGTCCCTTTTGGAGGCTCAAATACAAAAATATCTTGACTTCTTACAAGCCCCTAGCTTTGCTACCCAGTGCTCTGTAGGCTTCTAGTGACTGAACCCAGTTTCCCAGCACCAGGGTCAGGCCATTTCTGGCAGTTCCATCCCCTGTGAAGATGAAGATCTGTTGGTCAGTGCTATAGTGGAAATAGCAGGCCCAAGCAGAGGTCTGGTCCTGCCACTGTTGGCCCTGTAACTTCCTTGGGCAAAAAAGGAAGCAATAGTTGAGATCACCTCCCAGGTGGTTTCAGGGTTAAGATAACTGCTGGTGAAAGCATTTGATGTGCTGCAAGGCACTGAATCTTACTTGTTTTTGCAATCTGTGCTCTGGGCAGCAACCCTCCAAATTTCAGGAATTCTTAAGTTCTTTCTCAACCATTTCTTCTAGCAAAACAATGCCAGCCTCCTGGGGCCCAGTTGGCCAGTCCTTTGAATGACCTGGAACCTTCTCCTGGGCCCTTCCCTCTTGTTGGCAGTGCTCCTGAGTCAAAGGGGAGGGGCTGGGCAGCCTGAACCCAGAGGGCAAAGTGAGGGGGCCACCTGTAATTACTGAGAGCATGTTGCAGATCTGAAGAAAGTTCTTGTTGAGCCTGTTGGGGCTTCCCCCCTCCACCCCCACCTCACGTGGGCATCCTTGGGCCAAGCTCAGGCCTCCAGTTCCCAACCAAGAGAAGTAGGGAAACAGCCTTCTCGGCATCTACTTTCTATGTCCTAGCTGGCCAAAGCAATGAATGGGCCTATGCCAGTCCTGTTGCCTTAAGTTCAGGATCCAGGATGCCTGGGAGTGTCCCCATGCCTCATCCTGGCATGCTGTTCTATGTCGCACAACTCTAGAGAGCACCATCCACACTGTGTTCTATAAGATGGCATCTCTGGAGTTGTGCAATGCAGATACCGCCAGGGACATCCCCTAAGTTACAGCTGTTCCCTCGAGTCTGGGTGTTTCCGTTTCCTCTCTGATGTCCCTTTGGGCCCTAGAGCCTGGTTCTGACCCTGTCCATGGGTTGGAGTTCTGATACTCAGACCCACTTTCTGTAGCCAGACCTCCTCAGACTGCCCCTGCCTGTCAGTCACAGCCTAGACACTGGG